GGGGTTTGGGGCTTCGCGAAGACTAGCAAATCGCCAGAAAGCTCGAGCATATCGTTTAAATTCGAACTTTCAGAGTTAAGTACGTCACTGTCATCTGCAGTTGCATCCTCCGCGCCGGAACTGTACAGCATAGTCCAACGCTTACGGGGGGTGGCAGTAGTTTTCGTGAGATCGATGGCCACAGGTTTGGCTTCATTTGCTTGAGGTTGCTCGGATGGCACTGCAACTTCGGCCATTGTTGCGGCCTTTCGCGTCTTCATTCCAGGTGGTCTTTTGCTTTGAAGGGCAATTGCTGTCTCGCGTTTGCGTTCAGGTTGGGGGACGTCGCGACGCTCACATTCGGGCTGAGGCTCGAAATCAGGCTCAAGCTCAAACTCGGGCTCAGGCTCGGGTCCATGCTCGGTTGGCTGCATCTCAGCCCTTTCCACAACCCACTGGTTGACTTGCTTGGCCTTGTCTGCAGTGAGGAAAGGATGGGGAGGTGCAATGCCAGAAATCAAGGTCTGAGGGTTTGAGGGATCATTCTCGATTATTGATTCAATGCCAACGAACTCGTCCGCCTTCCCAATCTCCTGGAAGGTAAAATCATTCCAGATGCGAGATGGCCCAGCTTCCTCGCTGATGGGTGGCGGATTGAGTCGATTATCGGGTATAGTCCACACTTGAGAGTCATTGTTGAAGGACAGACCCACGGTGACGCACATTCGACCAAAGTCAATGGTTGAAAACATTTTTGGATCCTCAAGAACACGACGGGGTGCATCGGGATTCACACTGCTGTAGTTCTGGATGCGGAAGCGGCTGTCGTCCTTGTGTGGGACAACCATGATGTTTGTGGCGTTGGGAGCGAGAGAGCAGGACTAGTAAAATCTCGTCAGTTGTCAACATAAGAACGACTTTTGAGCAGCACGCCTACTGACCAAGGGCTTCTCAATCTGAGTCAGCTTCGTCAGAGCATCGTCCACATCCTCGGTGGTCCCGGAAACCCGTATGCCTTGTAATTCATCCACTACTGCGATTTCGGTGCCCGTGGCAGTGGAAACACCTGCTAGGACACTATAGAAGTTGTTGGAAAAGCAACCCAAACCTCCGTTAGGAGATTTCCAGAACTTGATGGCATGATTTCTCGAGTAAGGAACGATATCTTCGTCGGGATCATCGTCCAGGGCTAACAGACTCGGCCCTTGATGCTTCTCAGGTGAGTCCACGGCCGGGAGTCCCTCGTCAGAAAGCACTTCTGGGACATCCAGTTGACGCACTCGTGGCATCTGAATAGAACGACAATCAATATACACACCTTCGTGACTTTTCCACAGTCTGATTTAGCAAAGAAATAAGAAATGGCCTACGTCTAGGAGATCTTTGTCTTTCTGCTCTTCGATGAAGCCGGCAAATGCAGATGCAACCTTTGAGATAAAGCTCTCAACATTGCCTTTGGTCACAAGTACCTATTAGAAATCCCGGTTAGGTACGATGGTGTGAAAGGACATGGGAACCGACATCGTCTGTCTGGAAATATTCGAGCGAATCAACCTGAGGGATTGTGTTCCTGGTTTTGTTGCGTCAGCTGAATAACAAGCATGCGTGCTATGGTCGATACACACTTGACCTCTACCCCTATCTCCTTAACCTGTTCATACTTTGGTCAGCAGAGAATTCATTGGCATCCTGTCATTACGATCATCAGCTCACCCCGATAGCTTCGAATGCCCACATGGATGCGAGCGTCAGTCTTTGCTTCGTCGCCATTGTGTCAATACGTCAGAAACAGCAGTGCCCGCACTAGCTGAGGTTGGTTCAAAAAGGGAAGAAATGTGGTCGAAGAAAGCAAGATTAAGCTGATGATAATAAAGAAAGAATTGAGGTATGAAGAGTGATGCTCAATCGAGAGATATTGCGAAGCTCGTAGGAAGATAAGGTAGTGCTCCTGATTTCCCCAAAGAAGAAGGAAGACGAACGCAACACTGTATGAAAACCAAACGAGGAACAATCTCTCCTTATTCACCAGAATCACAAGCAAACAAAAAAAAGAAAAAGAGTTGAATGACAATGGGTATTCCGTAGGGTGCTTGATTTGTTTAATACAAACCAATCAGTGAATCAAGAGGGTAGTTGCAGCCACTAAGTGAATGTATTGTTTATCAGTAGGCGGATAGATGCAAAAAAGAGTCAAGGCATGGACAATCTCCCAAGGGCGAACCTACTCACTCTCTCATTGACGCATAAAGGATAAGGAGGAAGTGAAGGGCTTGCTATTGTATTGTAGGATTCGTGATTGATTCCCTGTGAATGCAGTGAATTGTAGGTTGGTACCTCCTTGGGCTCAATCCAGAAAAAGAGTAGAAGTCTCCCCTGAACCACATTCTTCTTCAAAGGTCATTTGGCAGACTATTCTATGCATTCATCTGGTATCCGTGTTTATTATGGTCTATTTGCAAACAAAACGGAACTCTAATCGAAGACCGTCAAGCAGAGAAAAAACGCATATGTCCTAGGGTATCAAGCACTCCCAAACTCCGGAAGTATTAAGCAACTGGGACACCAAGTCAGATGCGTGAGCCAAGGGCTCACTGCGAGCAGTATAAAGAACAATCCAAACATACTGTCGTAACATCGACGAGCGACATTCGGTCGAATGAGCCTGCTATGGACGTGAGTCGCAGACGGGGATATGGGTAGGAGAATGGCACAGCACGAAACAAGTTAAAAGATCGATCTTAGTTCGTTGAGTCCAGGATCGACGAATACTTTTGCCGACAAGCTGCATCCCTCGAAGACGAACCTGTTGCTTGCTTGGTGCGTCTTATGCGGATTATACGTAAATTGGGTCGCTTGTTCATCGGGCATCTTTAATCTCGTTCTTGACTTGGATAGCCCATTTCATTTTCTCTTCGGTCGCCTTGAGAGAGGCGAGAGCACTATCAATGTTGGCTGCGCCTTGATAGTTCCTTTCGATCAAGGCCCGCACCTCCTCGTCGTGAGCCTTTTTGTATGCTTCGTAGTCCTCGAAGAGCTGATCGAATCTCTCTCTACCTATCTCGATTTCACGATTTTTCTGCGCCATGACGGCGTCCAGGCGTTCTAGCTGTACGTCTCTTTTTTCATGTTCTGCTTTCAAAGTGAGGAAATCATCCCGTATCGCTTTGAGTTTCCTCTGCTGATCTGCACGTTCACGTTGTCCGGCTTTCGCCAGCACATCGTACTGTGTCCGAGAGTGATTGGCAATCTCCTGTAGCTCCGCACATTTTCGATTGAATTCATCGCGAGCCTCGTTCATCAGTTGCTGGAACTTATCGGTCTCTCCCTCTGCTCGACGTCGTCTTTCCTTCTCGCTCTGTATTTCGGCCCGCAACTCGTCAATTTTCTTGTCCTTGCGCCGGATCGAATGTAGATTCGTTTCGTTGGCCTGCTCAAGATTCCGAAGACGCTCGGTCATGTTCTGTACCTGCATCTTAAAAGCATCGTTCATCCTCTGAGTTTCTTCCGCCCGTGAGCGATACACACTGCATTCGCGAGTCAAACGTGCGATTTCTTCTTGAAGATTATGGATGACACGGCCAGATTTGCCCGTGGCCGCATGGCCAACGGCTGAGGACCATTCGGCGGTAGGAGCATCGCCGTTCGGAGGATTCGAAGCAGTACGTGGGGACGCGGATGTGGAATCTAACAACATGCGCAAAGAAAAATCAGCATTACAACTTCGAAGCGAGTAACTAGTTTCAAGTATCACCACGTTGACAAAAGATGGAACGACCTACCCGGAGAGGTTTCTACGGCTATAGTTGCCTTTTGGCATTCAGATGAGCTGACATCGAATAAACCATTGTACTGATGCATATTCAACTGGGTTTCCACATGAGGTAGGCTGACACGAGGGGGTCTCGGAGAATCTAACGGAGGTGACGCAAGCGTCTCCGGGTCAGCATTGTCACTTTCTGCTCTTGCAGCATTCTTCTTGGATAGCACCAGCCTGGCCATTATAGGGGCCGCGGNGGGGGTTGGAATGCAGGCTAAGTGTTATTAAGCAATGGCAAGCACGAAGCAGTACGGACGATGTTGATGGCAATCGCCTGCAACACCGAGGCTATCCCCAAGGCCCAAGGAAGGTGCGAAGCGAAGGAGGTGCAAGTCGGGGATCTCGAAGCTCCGGGTTGCCGGGGAATAAAGACCAAAAGACGAAGAGCAGACATACCCTTATGGAGATCAAGGATGGGATGCAAAAGAGCTCCAGCTGAACTGTTGACATGATGAGTTCTATGCTTTGTCATCGCCGAGACACATAACAAAGCTGCAGTGCAAATAGATAGAGATTGGGCTGGAATAGTTCAAAACTAGTGAAGGTGGTTAACTTACTGTCACACACTGCACACAGTAGAGAGTAATCAAAGAGCGAAATTGGATACAGTTTAATGAGTGTAAATGAAGGGTATACAGGTTAAGATATAAGTCCCAAAGAGATATATAAATGAAGGGACTACTGTCAAGAAACAGCAGTAGCGATCATTATCATCAAGAATTGATGAGTGATGAGGTTTTATAATAATCTGGTCAGGTACGAATGAACAGTGGGAACTGGTCAGGAAAAGCACATCCATGGAGAGTAAGCCGCTAAGAGCGGACACTAACAGCTTTCTGTCCAACAGTCACATCGATTAATGAAACATGAACTTGGAAGTGCTTTGTTCTTATAATCAGATTATCCATTTCATCCCCTATTGCATTTCTTCAGTCAAAGCAGTAATGAGTAGACTGTGGATGAGGCTCGCAGGGTCGATCCCACAATTGGTCGGTGCTTGAGCTGCCCTGAAGGGTACAACAGAATTCAACAACGATCATGGCCCGATTTCTTGAGGACACACCCCGACGTCACAGGACTTTTTGAATACAATGGGTACTATGTACAGCGAAATAAAGCAGAAGCATGACGAAGCCAATGTGCTCAAGCATTGGCAAATGATGACTAGATGCTTGGCTCCGAATTTGGTCACCCAAATCCCACTCTATTCGGCGACATAAAACAAGACGCCTACTGTCGCCAGGACCCAGCCAAGGTACACGTTTTCAATAGAAGCTCCGCTAGTTTCTAACTTAGCCGCCATTGCGCTTTTGCCGTGAGTGAAGTTTGAATTAGATCCCTTCGACATATCTTCAACATTGGTGAACTGGGCATTGTTACCCTTGGCGACTTCTGTTTCCCAGTCGTCGCCAGGTGAGGTGTCGGTGCCGTGATGGGATGAGGCGTCATCCTGAGGGGTGGGTGTGGAGATGTTCTGCGGCTTAGCATCCTCTGTGGGCTTCGGGAGCTTCGAAGGACTTGGGGGCATCGGAGGACTTGGTGGCTTGCTGCCAGGGTTCCCGAGTGTGATCAGTCCAGAATAGTTCTCCTCGGCACCTTGCTGGATTTGCAAGGCATAGTCTGAACCATCGGGTAAGGAATCGTCGGGAACAAAAGTGAAGGACCCGCCTTTCGCATCGGTAGTCAAGACTTGGACGTGGTCGAGGTTGTTTGCATCACCTTTGCGCAGATAAATGGTGGCAGGCTAAGCACAGCTAAAGTGAGAAAGGGGTGATCTGACGGAAAAGAAAGGCATTCGCGTTTACGTACAACATCAGGAGCCCCCAACCAAGTCACCGTAGCTGGTTTACCCTGGTAGATGTGGGTTGGCCATGTTGTGAAGGCCAGCATCTGAGCGGCGCCCAGCTGAGCCAGGCAGGCCCAAGTCGCCAGAAAGGTCCTCGAGCAAAACATCGTGATTTGTACTGCTATCAGAATTAGACGCCACTGATTAATACTGTTCGGGTGAGGGAGGCACGAACATCGAAGCAAGAGCAACAGCAAGAGCAAGAGCACAGCTAAGTAGTTGAATGAAGTCTAATGCACATAAAGATGCAGATTAAACCTGAAATTCTGAGCTTCAAAGATGGGACTGGTATTCGAGAACAGCAGCCTGGCGGACTGTAGATGGTATATGGACGCCACCTGAAGACCAGCGGCAGGCACGATTGACTGGAGCCCTTTCGAGTCGTCGAGTACACAGACACCTTCCTTACACCGGCTATGATATCTCTCTGATGAACAAAGTAGCAAGGAGGTGGGAACTATGAATGCCGCGGAAAGAACGACTGAAGGATCGAACTTCGAAATGATGACCACGGGATCATTGCGAGCTGCTGAATCACTTCATTTATGTCAAAACAACAAGACGTATTTGTCACACGCGTCGTACATTCTGAACGCATTCCAATCAACAAATGCCATGTATAACATAGGTCGTTTCTGAGGAATGTGCTTCGATAACGCAAACTCAACTAAACTTGCGGAATGAGATTTGAATGTGCATTTACTCGTCACAATGTTCAAAGAGCATGCTGAGGCCTTGTTCAAGGCTCAAACTGTCTAACTGACTGTAAAGTACCTTAGGTAGCCTCCGTATGTGGCTGAGACGATCGGTGTTTGCCCCAGGCGTTCCTATACGACTATCTCAATCTCGTCCACCTTTCGGGACTTGGATGTCTTAAGAAGCCATGACCCATTCTGCTTGCAAAGAGGATCTTGCCTGCAGCATGTTCAGTAGCAACGAGGGAGGATCTCCGTCGACCAATATTTCTAGCTTGATTGTCTTTCACAGGCTCAAGCTCGTGAACGAGCAGCCTCGCTATAGACCGCTCCCCTCAGTATGCAACTTAGAAGATAGCCAAGCTAGCCCAACTACCGGCTTCCGGCTCCTGTGATCAATTGTGCACTCTAATGCTGAATAAACAACCCCTTGAATAAATACCAGAATTATAGTGCTGTTCGATCCTCTTGTTGATTGACATTCTCGAGTCGGTTGTGTTTCCCTGCAAGGGGGTCGGTGACCCTGAATTGGAGGCTGAGAAGCCAGAGCCCAGGGGAAATCAACCTAATCGCATGTATCTAATAGCCATGCCATTACCGAAGCTTGAATCTATCTACCAGTCACTACTTGATCTACTAGGTCCGGTCGTGATCATCCTTGCAAGCTGCAAAAGATGATATTATATAGTATGTACTTCTCCCCACCCCCTGTTCTCCTTCTACCACCTAATCGGAGGTGCCAAGGCAAAGTCAATTGCCAGTGATGTACTCTTCTCGACGGAGCTCATTCCTGCTCTCAATATCCCTCGTTTTGTTTCTTGAACTATGATCGATTCTTACAATGCCCTGTGGATGCACTTGGGTACTATGACAATGGTAACGGTGACATGCTCGATGGTTACCGAAACCGGAAACAATATCAGTGTCGGAAAAGACAAGCCATATAGTAAGGAGATTAATACCACCCGATGGGAGGGACCCGCTTGACTGGATAAGTAAAGATGCAAGCTTTATCGCTTACTGTAATGCAAGAAGGCCCGGATGCATCGGTCTGTCCTCAATCCCAGTTGAGCGCCACCTGCATCGGCGGAAACCCTCCAATGTTCCTTCCACACTTGAGTTCCATATTCCATCCCAGGTAGCCAGGATATCACAGGTGGATGCTCGTTCCTCATGATGGAACTTTGCTTCCTCAACTACACTCATTCGCCCATATACGCTCGTTCAGACATTTTCTCCAATATCGTACTTTCCATCTTTCCCTGGCATAGTTGGTCACAGTCATTCGTTTAGAGACACTCGTTGAACGGTCCTTCGTTTTGCCCCTCGTTTCTTCATCTTTAGCATCGGGTTATATTCCATCTCCTTTTAGCCTCCAAGCCTTTTGGGGAATGAAACAACTGCCGGCACTGGAATGTCGCAAACTGATCTGCAAAGTGATCTAATCGTCGGCCTCGGGCATAGCGATCAACATCAGCAGACTTGCCAAGAATGCCAGCCGGTATCGTTTGCTGCAGCATCACAGAGTATCGATGAATCACAGCGATTCTACGGCTCGTTGAACAGACAGGATGAAACCCAGGAGGTCGGTCCTGAGAGGCCCCAATCGGCCCTCTCTGAACGTCTGGTCACATTGGAAGAGACGCGCGACGGGGCTTTGCATACGCTCGCTTTGTGTCGCAATGTCATCATAACCCTCGAATTGACACGCCTACGCAAGTCCCGGACTGGGTTTTCCTATTGGATGGCATTTTGGGCGCGGGTATACCAGAGACCGCTCGCTCGAAGTCTTTGTTCTCACATCGCGAAAGCGCTGAATAAGGTCGATGCGCTCTTTCGCGCTGTCTCTCAAGAGCTTCAACAACTTACGTCCAGAATGGAACACGCGGTCGCCGTGGCTTCCTCTGAAAAGGAGATTCTTTATCTGCTCGAACGAATGGAGGAGGAAGTGAGTGTGCGTCAAAGACGGAGGCGTCAAAAAGCCCAAAGCATCACGGAGAAGATGCGTGCCAAAATAGAAGCGATACCCGTCAGAGTCACAGACACGCTTTTCGACGATTTGAAGCGTGGAGTGCTTGCCCTGGACGTCTTCTGTGACTATCATCCCGGAGACCCAGTTGCGGAGGCAAATGAAATGTTGTGCGGAAACGAGCTCGAATACCCTCCGCATCTATCGTTTGGGACGATTGGACCATATGATTACCGCCGAATGCAAGAGTCGCAACAGTCTGCAGCGCTCGGCGCCTTCATGCCTTTGGAGACGCACTCCGGTAATTCGTACTATCATTATGTTGAGAGTTTGATGAACCAGGACGACAACTTTTCAGGGTGGACAGCGACAGAAGGGGCTTCAACGGATGGTTGGTGAGATTGGCAGGGTCTTGTTCGAAGGAGATCACACTTTTGGCTGATGGTTTGGTATAGTTGAAGTATAACTCGGGGATTTCGTACGACCTCCTGCCAAGTCAAGGCAAGGAGTAATGCCAATCATTAGATAGTACGGATTGCTTTTCGGAAAAGCTTTTTAGCATAGAAGTCTATAGACAACCCAACGGATTTGATAACACCAAATGATATACGCTAGAGGAAGCAAATTACCTGCCTAGCAATGCAGGTTTCGCGATTTTTGACCCGTCATGCAAAATTCCATAAGCCTCTCATGAAGTTACCGGGCGCTGTGTCCTGGCCTCCGTCTTCCTCGAGTAATCTGTCCGTGAATATTCGCTTGGGGATATGGTATTCAACGACTGGGATCCTCTTGAACGGCTTGTCTTCCGTACCGAGCTCTGCCTGCAGCATGCCTTGGTAGGTATAGTCCAGGAAATCTTCAAGATTGTACGCCTGTTTTGTAAACTGTTCCGATATAATCCGGGCAATAGCAGCGACATTGGGATGGTAATGGGACTGGAGCGTCTCGATTTCCCATAGACTGCTTTCAATGGCCTTCGTGCGGGTTGGATCTGTCTCGTCCACATCAAACGGGTCATCCATGCCCTCGGCTTCGAGCGCAGCCTTTGCTTGCTCGTCGCGGACGACGCGGTGAAGCATGAAGGTGCACGTCGGGTGATTCTTGAGTAAATTGTATATGAAGGGAACAATTACCACAATAGCGGTTGGGGGTGCATTAAGCGCGAGACGAGAAATACGCTTGATAAAGCTGGCGATAAGCGCAGCGGGAAGGTGGGTGGAGGAGAGGAAGGTGTTCATCAGCCGGAAGAACCGAGAGCGGTGTTTCGAGTGCAGGAGATCGGCGTCGAGGAGGGAATATAGTTTGTGGTAGAATTGGGGATAGTCCAGGTTCTTCTCCTGGATCAGGTAGAAGAGACCTGAGAGCGCGAGGAGGGATGTCGCGCCGCCGACGTTGTATGAATCTGTCAGGAAGTCCATGAGCAGTTCGGGGCGGTTGAACCACGGCTCTATGGTGTAGACCATGTTGCGCAGCAGGGTTTTGCGTTGGGTGTGCGAGAGGTTGTTCTGAAGTATAGCCAGCCAGGCATCCTGTGCTCGTTTCTTGTGCGAGTTCACTGAGAGGAGCTTCTTGTTTTGTTTGCTAGTTTTGGTGTAAAAGTTTTCAAACTTGTGCTCAGGACCAGGGACATTGTCGCATTCCGATAGCAGTGAGATCAGGATGTCGAGGACTTCGGAGCTTCTTTTTGTCTGTGTGTAGTCACTGGTACCCAAAGTTAGCATACGGCCGGGTTTCTCGGAGAAGAGGGATGAGAAACGTACGAGACCTGCACGAAGGTGTAGTATCTCACATCCTCGTATGCCTTCGCGAAATGATCCAAAAACTCCGACCTCAACGCCTGCCCGTTCTTTGCTTCGACAACAGCCTCGAATACGTTCTTAAAGAGGCCAGAAAGCCAGACCTGAGTATCATCGCCCGGTAGATGGGTCGCACGTTCGTTGATAATGCGCATGCATAGAGTCAAGGCAGTAACCTGCCACGGTATCAGAAAATGCCAACAGAGTGTATGGGAAGCCTGGATGACAAACCTGAGAGGAAGGATCTGCTTCACGAAGGATTGAGACCAATGCCTTCTGGTATTCCCGACAACGTTCTTTCAACCAAGCAACGATGATCTTCTCATTCTCTGCTGCGCGACTGGTCTCCGTAAGATTCCCCATGGCCATCAATCTGCTGAAGACCCGACAGAGCGATACTGCCGCGGCCAAATTAGGCTCTCCATCATTTCCATCCGCATTGAGCATCGAGATCAGTGTCACAATGTTGTTGTAGTACTTTCGCGACTCGGAAATCTGGTCTTCCAGCTCTTGGATCTTGGCCATCTCACCATCGCTTTGAGTCTCAGCGACTGCACGACGCTTGGACGAGGTAACCCCCCTTTCTTTGACGCTCTTTCGCTTCTTGGAGACTGTAGCTCCGTCCATAGGCAGCGGCATTTTATTCG